CTACATAGCCTTGTAGGAAGTTTATTCGAGATTTCGAAACTGCCCGTCAATTTTCTGTCTGATCATTAGTTGCTGAGATATCGATGGTTAAAGCCAAAAGGATGCTTTTGTATTCGTAGTCGAATATCTCCGGGTCAAATTAACGTAGAGAAAAATTTAAAAAAAGAAATTAAAGCTGAATGAACAGGCTATCAAGTCCATATCATGATTTTTGTGTAAAAAAATTTTCCAAGCCCGTGGACCGAGGAAAAAAACGCAAAAAATTGAAAAAAATTTTTTTAGTCTTATTTCTTAGAATTTCGCGATGACTGTCGCTCCTAAAAATTTTGAGCTAAGAAATCTGGAAACTAGACATTCAGCGCTTTAAATTGCTTTTTTTAAAACCTTGATACGATCGTTTTTAACTGAGATACAGCATTCTGAAAAATCACTAAAAATTCGAAAAAATTTTTTGCTCCCTTAATTTTTTGCAGAAGTTTATACTGAGGAAGAGTGACCTACTAATCTGTAGGTACTACGAAAGCACGAGTAATGTCGCACTAAATGAAATAATTTTTTTAACTAATGATATAGGAAACAACTACCCTGCGGGCTATAAGCCCTGGTCTATGTTTGGTGGTATGCTGACGAATAGCTCGTCTACTAGAGATTGAGGGCGTAATTCAATGCTGAATGTGGCCTTGCAATGTAGTTGTTTTTCACAATATGAGTAATTAAAACTTTTTGAAGTATTCCCCTCGCTATTCATATTCGGCATTGAGTTTTCGATGATTTGATGAAAAATTGCCGCAAATATTATTTGCGAGACGAAGGTAATCTAATTTTAAAATTAAAAAATGGATATATTGGATATCCAGACTTTAAATAGGGGTCAGTTTTAGAGGTAATAGTACGGATTCCCCAGAATACAAATCTGATATACTTTTATTTGTATCAAATAAATAGTGGTTCTTTAAATTTTAATTCCTCGATGATTTTTGAGAATTAATTGTGAAACAGCACTTTGTGCCACTTCCAATGCTGTACGCCGTCACTGGGCGACATCCGAAGTTAGCGTATTAATTTGTATTCCTGCATTATCAGTGTTGCCAGTTGTTTTTATAACTGACTGACCTATTAGTTTAAATAAATAAAATAAATAAAACTAATGTATATTGTAAAATAATTATTATTGTCGTTTATAAAAAACGACCATAATAAAAAAAATAAAAATACTAATCTGATTTATATGAAATATTTTAAAAAAAATCGTTTCAAGTTTGTACAAACAATCGTGTTAATATTTTTTTAAAGCAGTGTATGTATTTTGAATTTATGAATCTCAGTGCAAATGACCTCTGACACTGACTTACTTTAGCTGAACTATACGTCTCCCACTGCCACGGTTTAAATTTAAGCAGAATCCCATCATGTTCGGAACGCTTCCGAAGGGAACGGGGGATAGCCACAACTCTGCTCCTGAAATGCCATACCGCCTTTGAAATGTGGTCGTCTTCACACCTAGTATGATGTGACGGGATGGTAAACGGATCTGTTACATATTTATTTTAATTTTCGACCTAATCGGTTTATGAGACGTTGTTCGTAAAGTGCCATTGTATGGTGTAAGTGTATAACCTTATAAAGTAGTTTATACTCTGTATCTATTACATTAAGTACATTTAAAGTTATTAAAAATTAATATTTTCATTAATACTGAAAATTAACCCTATATCCTGGGTATCACTGCATGCAGAATAGTAATAATATGCTCCTCTTCTCCCACACAAGTCCTTCACTTGTCTTACTTAACTCTTGGTGTTTGGAATGGGAGGATGGAATATAAATAAGTTTGTTATTAGAAATAATATTCTTCTCTTGTACCTGGTTAAAAACTGCTTCATTGTTATGCTTTATTAAAAACAGCATTTAACTCAAAAGATAAAATTACATTTGAATAAAATATTGCACGTACAACGGTTAAAAAGAAACAAAAATAAATATATGAAAAAAGGGGTTACATTAAAATATTGCACACAAAAGAACACAAAAATACAGCATCGCCTTTCAAAATAAAAAAAAAGTGTTAACTAAAGTACCTTTCCTAAACCTAAGAATTAAAAATATTGCACTGAAAACTAAAACTAAAATATTGCACCTAAGTTTCGTATATCACTTATGTTACTGTTATTTCACAAAGTCCCCCTTATCCATAAAATCCCCAGTATACAAGCAAAAAAAATGTATGGCAATAACAAAACAATTATATCGATACAGAAACATAAAGCTATGTTAAATATACCGAGACGATACAGAAAAGTCGAATCAATTTCACAAACACGATTTTAAAATATTTTCCGGGATACATACATGTAACAATGATCCTGCGATAAACTTTAAGGAATGATGGATCTTATCAAAACGGAAAAAGATCAACTTTTATTCCTAAAACAAGTCTTAAAGGATCTGGGAGCTGAAATAATAGAACCCCTAGAAATAACTTTAGGAAAAAACGTTAATCTAAAATGTGTTTCTTTAGATGATAGTTTAAAAATTGTCGCAATATCGCTGTTTCATTATTAAAAATTGTTTAAAATTGGTTTTGATTCAACTTTTCTGGATATTATTTATTATAAATGATAAATCAATCTAAATTAAAATGTTTTCCTCAGAAATATGACCACATGTTTTTAAAATAATCATTGGATTGGCATTTGAAAGAAGAATATATTTTTGCGCTCCGTAGATTAAAATACTGTTTCAGTTCATAATATAATCGCTAGGAATTAATAGTAAGTAATTAAGACAGTGTCAGATAAATAATAATTCATCGAGATCGACTGTAAACATGTCGAATATACGTCGATCGAAGGCATTATTATCCTATAACACCCGTGGTGCTTTCACTTCCTAATGTTCTACTAGTCTAACCCTCTTAACCCATCAAAAGCGCGTGGGTAAATGCTTCCAGGAGATATTTATTACGATATTGCGTTGTCGCAATAACGCGCACGTCCTTGTACCACTTTTGTATGTGGAGGCTTTCAATGTATCTCAAAATAGCAGACTAGTAGGACATTAAAGTACTTTGAATCCCACCAACACAAACAATCAAAGAAAATCTAATGACTGCCAAGGTAATATGACTGTTGTTAGAAAGTATTATGTTAAATCAGCATATACAAATTTTAATTAGGTAGTAACACAAGCACACATAACAAAAAATAATCTGTTCCGCGGTTGAGACCCTACGTCTTTGGACCCTTAAGCACCGAGTCTGCTATCGGAAACGCTTAATATTTTTCTAAAACCACCTGAAACCTCCCTTAAATGAAGCAAACACTCTGCATTCAGTTAGTTTCCACTTGAGTACAGTGCTGGAAATAAATATGTCGTCGGATCATATCGGTGGCGCTTGTTACATATTTTTCAGACTCGATCAACCCTTGCAATCCTTCAGCTTCAGATGAATACCAGAAAACCACCCCTAAAACAAAAATCAGCTGAAATCCTACACGGATCTATGTTTCAAACTCAAACCACAATTTTACAACCTCAGCCATGAACCTAAATTCCTAACCCAGAGACACTGCACACAGTACGATCTACATACCGCAAGAATTATTCTGGACATATAACAAGGATATATGAAACCTCCTACTCGTATAAGCCCCTAAATCTGCTACAACTTTACATTTAGTAGATTTCTCTTTGGATACGACCTTGTTAGAAGTCTATCTGCAATCATGGTATACCTGAAATCTCTAAAGGCAGCTGTGAATGCATCGAGTAATTGATAAAGTTATAACGCTTTATCTAAAAGCTGCAGTAAATCAGTACAGTGATTTTTAGTTAATACTTTTCCTTCTGTAGCTCTCACTCTTATCTTGGGACGATCTATGCCTTTTGAGTGTCTAATGGTCATCGGTTTGCTGGAGCCTTTAGATGTAGTTTTATAACTGATACAATTTTCTCGATTAAATCGCAATTGCCTTTAGAGATCTCAGATATGCCATGATTGTAGCTACTTTGCAAGGCTTCATCCATCAAATGTAAAGTTATAGCAAATTTTAAGGCTTCAGGAAGTAGAAGGTTTCTTAAATCCTTTAAAAATTACAGGGTTACAAGACTGATTTTTGTCTTTATACAATTATGCCTGTTGTATTGGGTAAAGGGTCGTACTGTTTCCAGTATTTGTGGGTTAAGAAGTTAGGTTCCTGGTCTACCAAAGCTGTGTTCTGTGAATGGTCGGACCAGTCAAAGTCGTTCAGCGGATAAATATTTCGTTAGTCAGCCCAATTAGCTGATTGGGAATATTGGGCAGGTTTTAACACAATAATTACTAAAGGCCGTTCAGCGAATTGTTTGACTAAAGACGTTTGACTGAACTAATTATTCGCTGAACACAGCCTAAATGAACTGACATTACTAAATTGTCTGCTATGTAGGGGTTTTAAATTTGTGGTTGGCGTTCGTGACATAAATCTGTCGAATCTATAATCTTAACTGATGTTTTAAAAGTAGCTTTATGGTATTGCAAGAAGAGTTGCAAGAGTTGATCGAGTGTTTGAATACTCAAAATATACACTCTTCCAGGACTGTGCTTAGAGAGAAACCTACTGAATGCTGACTTTTGACTGCTTTTAAGGGTGATTTTTAACAACTTAAAAAAATATTTGGGATTATAAAGCGTTTTCCACGGTATATTTGGTTTCTAGGGCGCAAAGAAATAGGGTGACATGAGTCACATCTGCTGAATAAGCTAATTTTTCCAATTGTTGTGTCTGTGTAATTAAATCTGATTGTTAGACCACGGAGTGGAAAAACACACATACCATATATCTAAAAGAGGCTAAAGCCCCCTTTAATCCTTGAGGTGAATCGTATTAAGTCTCGCACCTTGCTATATACCATATTATATAATACAAATTCTTACAAATCCCAATTTGGGAAAAATAAAAATCAAACGTATTAGTGTAGTCATATTCCTGTGGCTTACTTGTCATCCAAGAACATGCACGGAATTATCGACTAGGGTAAGTAACCTAAAGAGTTCTCTATGTTAGTACTAACGTTGTCGATGTTCCTTTCATACTGCGACTCCAAGTCAAAATATTCCCGACTCTCACTTATCTTCCTTCCCTCGTTCAAACTCGACCTCCTGGACTCGTCCGACTGGCTCTGAATCGTGTAGAGTCCGTTCTTCGCGCTATACATGTTATTCTTCGCGTTTCTGATGCTAGTTACACCCCTACCCTGCATCAGTTTAGTGCCGTAGGTCCCAACCGTCTTCACGTCTAGACGGTTTGACGAAGGTTTGGATGGTTTCGTGTATTTTGGCTGCTGCAGCTTAGTGTAAGAACTTTTGGAGATCAGAGAGGCGACGTCGAAGTTTTTAGGTGTTAGGTGGGTGATGTCCGTCGTTTGGCTCAGTTTGATGTCGGCGAATAGTGCCGCTATTTCGGCGGATTTTTTTACCGACAGGGCCTCGTTGCAGCCTCCTGATATGGCCGTCGACTGGAGTGTTCTTGTAGCTGCAATGAGAAATACATATCAATACAGTGTCATTTAGTTGTACCAAGAATTGAGACGTAAATAAAATATTGAAACAGATTGGGACGAAGTAATCAGTAAAAGCCCAAAGTAGGTCATGTGCAGCGCTCCGTAACTTTCAAACTGTTAGAGCTAGAGAGCGTATAAAAAAAAATAACTCTCGAAATTCTCCGATCAATTTTGGTGTGGCTTGAATGAGCAGAAGAATTTAAGATGCTCAACTCATTTTTTCTGGACTTATGTGGATTGTTGTACAAAAACATATTTTCGCTGCTCTGTTTTTTTAAACTCTATAGTCCAAGCTTTCTGTGACGGCCTAATGTTAAATTTACAGAAATTATGACATGGAAAAAATACTACCGTATAGCAAATTAAATTTTAATTAACTTTCTTATTTTTAAACTCGATACAAAATGGCGAACAAGGCTAAAAAAATTTGCAAAGTTGCAAAAAATGGGTTTTCTTAAATAACTGAAAAATTATAGCTTCGATCGAAACATATTAAATGAGAAAGTTGTAGGTTTTAAAAATATCCATCGACTGACTTTTTATGAGAATCGATTGCTTTGTTACTTTTCGAGATATATCGAAAAAAACGTGAAAAATCTTCTCTTCTCTCTTCTATAACTCGTTTACATTTACGTTGATATTCTTGCTATTTACTGTAAGTATAGCCGTGACAAGCCAAAAAAGCAAATTTTTGGAAAATTAAAAAATAATTATTTTTCGAAGTATACATTTATTTAAAAAAAAAGACGCTAGACAAGACAAGACAAGATTTGGCCGACCCTCTAACTCAAAAACCAGAAGGTACTTTTCCGAAGGATTTTCGAGGTCTAAATTTCTCAGTTGGATCTAGTTTTCGAGATATCCTAACCTAAAAGTGCCAAAATCGCGATTTTTAACATATTTGAGGTTATGTTACATGGATAGGTAAATTTTTTTGCTAAAACCATTAATGGGGTCTTAATCGAGAAATAAGTCAAACTACTAAATTTCAACATGCGATTTCGGCAAAAAATTTACCTTTCCATGTAACTGTAACATAACCTCAAATATGTAAAAAAAATCGCGATTTTGGCACTTTTAGGTTAGGATATTCCAAAAATCAGAGTTAATTGGGAAATTTGGAACTTGGATTCGAATTCAGCGCACCAGAATCCTTTGGGAAAGTGTTGTTGGGTAAAAAATCTTGTCGGCTTTTGTAATTTTTACGATTTATTTAATCGATCAAAAAATGGCTTTGAAAAAATTACACCTTTTTATTGGGAATGCAAATTTAAATAAAATATAGAAGAGAGAAGAGAAGATTGTTAACAGTGTTTTCGATGTAAGTATATTGAAAAGTAACAAAACAAACGATTCTTTTAAAATATTAATCGATAGATTTTTTTTTTAAAATGGCTGTAAATGTTGATTGAGTCATCTAGATTTTTTCAAATAAGAAAGTTATCTCGGCTCCAAAAGGTCGTAGGAAAATATGTTTTCTTTTTAAATTAGTGAAAAATTGTCAGCAATATATTTCTTTGTCATTTCTATAAAATTAAAAATGCCCAAAAAAGTGAAATTTTTTCAGTATGTCTCTTAAAAGTAAAAGTACTAGCAAAAAAGTAAAAGTAAAAAGTAAAATAGACTCGGTCTCTTCAGTATTTTATTTTTTTTATTTATTTTGATATTTTTTTTTATTATTTATTTATTATTTTTTTATTTTCCAAAATTTAAGAGCATGGTAATACCACATATCTAACCCATATGCGATACTTAGAGAGATAGAACTACTTTGTGCAACACGAATGGAGATACATCCAAGTTAAAGGGACTGAACGCATGTGTATTTCCCAACAGAACAGCTGTGTGACAACGTAAGATGATATTTTCAGATTTATTATTATTTCGGCATTAAACAGAATAAATATGAAATACAAAACTTTAAGGATATATAAATTTTGTAGAGTAAAANCCCTTCCACAAATAAGATCCACTTCTTATTTGTGGAAGGGCGAAATGGGCGGTGACTATTAGACGCCTTCATTATAGCCATCTTTCTCTATCGCACGGATTTCTATGACTTACTTTATCGCTCTCACATAACGGCCGATGAACTATGGAGACTTTCCGACCCTGTATATAGCTATACCAAGAAATGTGAAAAATATTTTTATTTGTTATTGTTTCTCTTCCTCTATTTTTGCTATCTTGGACCTATTTTTTGTGGTTAGAAAAAATGAGACGTGTTAGCGCAAGTCTGACAGTGTATTCAGGTTCAACTCGTCAAAATATTATAAGATATACTACTATACACTTTTTTTTTGTGTGGCTGTGTTATTTGTTGCGTCTTTTGCCAGTCTTCTTGTTCATTTTAAACTTCTGCAAAAAATTAAGGGAGCAAAACAATTTTTCGAATTTTTAGTGATTTTTCAGAATGCTTTATCTCAGTTAAAATTGATCGTATCAAAGTTTTAAAAAAAGCATTTTAAAGCGCCGAATGTCTAGTTTCTAGATTTCTTAGTTCAAAATTTTTAGGAGCGACAGTCATCGCGAAATTCTAAGAAATAGGAATAAAAAATTTTTGTTCAATTTTTTGCGTTTTTTTTCTCGGTCCACGGGCTTGGAAAAATTTTTTACACAAAAATCATGATATGGACTTGATAGCCCGTTCATTCAGCTTTAATTTCTTTTTTTAAATTTTTCTCTACGTTAATTTGACCCGGAGATATTCGACTACGAATACAAAAGCATCCTTTTGGCTTTAACCATCGATATCTCAACAACTAATGATCAGACAGAAAATTGACGGGAAGTTTCGAAATTCGAAAATTTCCTACAGGGCTATGTAGCGTTCTTGGAAGAAAAAAAATGTCTTTCATCCTCGACATTAACTTGAAAAAAGTGAAAAAAAGTGACTTTTTGACTTGTTTTGCTAAGTCGACCGCATCTTTGCTAATATCGATGGAGAGTCTAATGCTTGTACGAATTTTTACACCTCGATGTACCCCCAAAAGCTCCGTAAATGGGCAGATCGATCTATCGAACGGTTTTTCCGGACCGCTTAATCAAAATTTCAGAAAAATTTAAAGGAGCAAAATTTACATTTCTGAGCACCCTGTAACGTTCGTAAAAATGAAAAATTTGATTTTTTTT